AGGGAGAGGGAGAGGGAGAGGGAGAGGGAGAGGGAGAGGGAGAGAAGAGAGAAACATTGATGTGAGAGAGAAACATGGATCCATTGTCTTCCATGTGCACCTGACTTGGGGACCAAACCCACAACCTGACCAGGAATTGATCCTGTAACCTTTTGGTGTATGAGATGATGCTCCAACCAACGGAGCCACACTGGCCAGGGCAGGTCATATTTTCAAAGGATCACCAAAAATGAATTCACATTCATTCACTAGTTTTTTTATTTAGTGTTACTTGGTAAATGTCAGAGCATTCTGATTACAGACCAAGTTTCCATTGCCATCTTCTGATGGCAAAATAATTCTTCCTCCATCCACCCAAATTTGGCTTGAGTGGGTCCTTGACCCTTTGGATCCCCTGACTCTAGCCCACAGTTGATCCCTTCAGTCTTGATCACACCTTTTTCCATCAAGTCCAAGAGGTTGGGCCAAGAAAAGCAGAAAACTTTTGGTGGGGGGGCAATGTTTACACCAAAGTAAGAACAACGTAATTGTACCTACTCGTCACTGTGAAAGAAGCAGACCATCTGGAAAGCGTTTGAGACTGGATGCCGTTGGCAACCACTGAGGAATAGTTTTCTCGGCCGGGTAGGCTGTAGACTCGCACAGGCCCCCCGGAGCTGCTGATCACGCCTCTGCAACACAAGAATAACCGCTGAGATTCAGCCACACTTCTCAGGGACATCTGACTGGATTGTGCCATGTTGCAACTATTACTCTGATTAATCAGGAAAACAGTTTGGCAGGAAACCCATCTAAGGGTGCAGCCAGCCTTTTTAAAAACTTGCTTACACAGGCACGAAATCTGCCTGGGAAAATGGTTTTGTGCAGTCAAGCTTACGTGCTGATAAGAACACACCTGTAGTATATTCCTTCACCTGTAAAATGGAATAAAATGGTACCTACCTTGTACAGTGGCAGAGTTGTCATGGAAGTTGAAACAATGGTGGGCACATAGTAAAAACTCAATCGTATATTACATGATTAGCAATGTTTTAGAATCACAGCAATCTAGAGATCAAGAAATAATGCAATTTGCCTTTGGTCAGAAAGCTTCCCTTGCGTAGCTGGTGTTCAAGGATATTCAGGAAAACCTTAAAAATGTGGCATATTATGGCACCAAGAAAAAGAAAAGCTGGGGGAGACAGAGGGCCAGAGAGGGGGAGCAAATAATCACACTTGTGTTTCTCTCCCCTTGGTGTGTTCGGGCTTACCTGTGGACAGCGGCGCCGCATATGCTCGACACAGAAGCATACACTATGTTCCCAAACACGGAGAACTCCTCGAGCGGGCAGCCCCCTGGGCAGAGGACATCTGCTTTCTCTTTCCTGATGTCCAGGCCTCTGGTAAAGCACGTGATAGCAATGGGCACTGAAGAGTAAACAGGGAATGGGATAGCTGTTCTCAGGACATCTGGGCAGTGGGGGTGGGGGCAGGGACTAGGAGATGAGATTAGTGTTTACCTCCCTGATTTAGACACTTGTATTAGGGATATTGATTTATACATGGTTCCCCACCATTCCAGATTTTCACAAGCTGAAAATCTCTTTTCCAATGTAATCTACTCCTCAGCCACTATAAAGTCTAACGGGAGAATTTTCTCAGTTCTTATCAGTTTGAAAATACATAATTGAACTATATCAGAACTAGAAATAACAGTCATTGGCCATTTGTTAATTCATTCTAGAAATATAAAAATCTCACTTCTGACGACAGCTGTGTGCGTAGTTGCCTGAGGGGACAGTATGAAATCTGGGCTGAGCCTGTGAGGGACGTTTCCTTAGACACATGCACACACCCAAGTCATCCTTCTCTTTAGAGGATCGTTTATACCCGTTTTCTTCCAAATGCAGTGCCTTTAAATTATATCCATTTAAGCAAATCAGTAAAAAGATGTTTCACTTTATTGAATGTCATTTAGCTCAATCGCTCATTTTACAGATGAAGAAATGAAAGCCAAAAAAAAAAAAAAAGAAATGAAAGCCATGGGGTTAATTGGCCCAAGGTCACACAGCCCATTCTACAACTCCTGAGGGGACAGGAAACAGGGATGTTAGTCCCTTCAGAATGGCACATTTTTATCTGAACGGAACCTGTTTATTCCTGTTCCAGATCTGTCCAGAGAGCTATCTCAGCAGTGGATGCATTTTTAGAAAGCACTGTTAATACTCTCAAGTTTTGCATGATGAACCCGACTAATAATGAATCTAAGTTTTTACTACAACAGATATTAGGTACAGAAAAGCCCTTGGCAACATGTAGAAGATACCATAATACAACATGTTAACTTGTTAAATTTCTGTACATATTAAATTTATTTATTTTTAATCTTCACCCAAGGATATGTTTTTATTGATTTTAGAGAGAGGAAGGACAGGAGAGAGGAAGAGAGAGAGAGGGGAGGGGAGGGGAGAGAGAGAAACACTGATGTGAGAGAGAAACATTCATGGGGATCAAACCTGAAACCTAGGCATGTGCCCTGGCCGGGAACCAAACCCGCAGCAGCTGTAGGGGATGACGCTCCAACCAACTGAGCCACCTGGCCAGGGCTATAAACATTAAATTTTGAATGATGCTATTAAATACTATTTTCCAGACACAGGAAATTGTGGTTATCATCCAAACCTTTTGAAACAGACCTTAATTTTTAAAAAAGTTTTTCCAAGCCTGGAGTAATACTGCCTGGTCACATTACCCAACTGACTAGCCTACCTCCAACAAGGACCCTCATCATCCTCTTCTTTTTCATCTTCACCCAAGGATATGTTTCTTTTGATTTCAGACAGAGAGGAAGGGATGAAGGGAGGGGGAGGGAGGGGGGGAGAGGGAGAGGGAGAGA